CCACCGCTTTTTACCGGTGCTGGAGCGGCAACACGTGCTGGTCAGGACGGACAGTACGGCGGCGGCGGCGTATATCAACCGCATGGGGGGTATGCGCTCTCGCCGCATGTCTCAGCTCGCCCGCCGTCTGCTCCTCTGGAGTCACCCGCGGCTGAAATCGCTGCGCGCCATTCACGTCCCAGGCACACTCAATCGTGCAGCCGATGCGCTCTCACGACAGCTGTTACGCCCTGGAGAATGGAGACTCCACCCCGAGTCTGTTCAGCTGATATGGGCGCGATTCGGGGAGGCCCAGATCGATCTGTTTGCTTCCCCCGAGAACGCTCACTGCCAGTTGTTTTTTTCCCTGACCGAGGGCTCTCTCGGCACGGATGCACTGGCCCACAGCTGGCCTCGGGGCATGCGCAAGTATGCGTTTCCCCCAGTGAGCCTGCTCGCGCAGTTTCTGTGCAAGGTCAGGGAGGACGAGGAACAGGTTCTGCTAGTTGCGCCCCTTTGGCCCAACCGGACCTGGATATCAGAGCTCTCACTCCTCGCGACGGCCCTCCCCTGGCGGATCCTTTTGAGAGAGGACCTACTCTCTCAGGGACAGGGCACCATCTGGCACCCTCGCCCCGATCTTTGGAACCTCCACGTGTGGTCCCTAGACGCGAGGAAGACTTAGGTAACCTACCGACTGCGGTGGTTAATACCATCACTCAGGCTAGAGCCCCCTCCACGAGGCGCGCCTACGCCCTGAAGTGGAGTCTATTCACTGAATGGTGCGTCTCTCGCAGAGAAGACCCCCGAAATTGCCAGATTAGTGTTGTGCTCTCTTTCCTTCAAGAGAAGTTGGACAGCAGGCTGTCGCCCTCCACTCTCAAGGTTTACGTGGCCGCCATCTCCGCTTATCATAGCGCGGTAGCTGGCGGCACCGTGGGAAAGCATAACCTGGTCATCCAGCTCCTTAGGGGTGCTAGGCGAATTAATCCATCTCGCCCCCCTCTCATACCCTCTTGGGATCTCGCCCTCGTTCTCACGAGTCTGCGATCCGATCCCTTTGAGCCACTCGAATCAGTATCTCTAAGATTTCTGTCCCTGAAGACAGCTCTGCTGGTTGCGTTGGCCTCCATCAAGAGGGTCGGGGACCTGGAGGCATTTTCGGTCAGTGACTCGTGCCTGGAATTCGGGCCGGATTACTCTCACGTTATCCTGAGACCCCGCCCCGGTTATGTGCCCAAGGTTCCTACCACCCCCTTTAGAGATCAGGTAGTGAACCTGCAAGCGCTGCCCCCGGAGGAGGCAGACCCAGCCCTTTCTTTACTTTGTCCAGTTCGCGCTCTGCGCATTTATGTGGACCGTACTCAGAATTTTAGATCATCTGAGCAGCTCTTTGTCTGTTATGGCGGTCGGCAGCAGGGAAGTGCCGTATCGAAACAAAGATTATCCCACTGGATTGTGGATGCCATTTCACTCGCTTATTCGAGTCGAGGTCAGCCGTGTCCCCCGGGAGTACGTGCACACTCCACTCGGAGCGTTGCATCCTCTTGGGCGCGTGCACGCGGCGCCTCTCTAACAGACATCTGTAGAGCTGCGGGCTGGGCGACACCCAACACATTTGCAAGGTTTTACAATCTGCGAGTGGAGCCGGTTTCCTCAAGGGTATTAGGTAACCCTTTGGTGATTGAGGAGACAACTCGGTAGGGTGTTGAAACACGCTTGCTGCGCCATTCTCCCTAACACGGAGGTACGTGCGCCTTTTTTATCTGTCAGTAAAGTTCCCCGTCAGGTGAGCCCTGCAGATTCCTCCGTGGCCCCCAGCACTGACTCAGCGGAGGAGTCACTTGCTGGCCCACTACGTTGTAGGTCTGCCCGCTGGTCAGCCCGCGTTTTGGGTATAGGTGCCTGCTATGCGTGATCCCCACTAGGCGATCCCATATGCTTATTCCGCCACGGTTAAGTCCCCCCCCTGGGCGGACCCGTGTCTTCCCTCTCCGCTAACCACTCTTTGCTATGCGTACTCCCCCTTTTTAGGGCTAGTCCATAGGTAAATTCTGCCATCTATCCCCCCCTTGGGTAACGGATGGCCTCCGCAGCGTCCTCCCTATCGGGATTGCACGCTTCCCAACGTACTGTCGTATTTCCTAGAATTATCTAGATGCTCACGACTTCCCAAAAAATATATCTAAATCCGTAAAACTTCTGTTGAAGTAGGATAAATTAGGGCCAGGGACACGTTGGAGGACCGCGCCCCCCATGATGTGGGTGCGTCACGCTTGCTTGACTATCTCCTCATCGGAGGTGTTGGTAAGGTGCAGTCATTATGGCGCTTTCCATATTCTCCCATTCATGGCACTGAAGTTCCCCAACCGAAGGGGAACGTTCGAGGTTACAGAAGTAACCCTTCGTTCCCCGAGGAGGGGAACGGAAGTGCCATATTCCGTCGCCATAATGACTGTCCCTTAGCTGTTTGAAAGTCTCTTCAGCTTAAAAGGATGGCGTCTGCTGGCTTCAGGTGTGCTTATATGCTGAGATAATTGCAGATGTCGCACACCTGCGCAAGCTTACGCTGCCAATTAATTTCATTCATTGGCCCGTTCAATACTCTCCAGATAAGCGGCTTCTGATCCGAATCCTCCCATTCATGGCACTTCCGTTCCCCTCCTCGGGGAACGAAGGGTTACTTCTGTAACCTCGAACGATCGCAAGTGCTCAGATTGTAATCACATCTCGGTTTTGTACTGTTGATACGTAATTTAGCTTGAAACAGATGGAAATATGACTGCTATTAGAATGACTACTATGACGAGGGCTTAAACGGAGCATTGCTGTTAATATAGAATAAAAAAAAAGAAAAAGACAGCTGGAAACATAACCAGTTTGTATTTTTGTAGGAAAAACAGTTTAGATTTTTTTAGGGTAAGAGGTGTGTAAGTTATTGTCATCAGTCTACCACTAAATGTGTCAAGATTATCAAAAACAAAACCAACTTAACTCTGCTCCTTTAGCGCCCCTCACACAGCTTGATCCACGCTGGCATTTCTCCCCTTGGGTTTTAGGTTTTGGAAAGGGAAAAAATTCCACCATCCTGTCCAAACTTTTAGGATACCAGGTATCAGATTTGTACAATCCTTATGAAGAGAAGATAAAATCGGGGTGATGTGCTTTGCGTGTGCCAGTTAATAGACGTGAAGCTGCATTCTGAACAAGTTGCAGTCGAGAAATAGAAAACTGACTCACCCCACAATAAAGGGCATTGCAGTAGTCCAAGCGGGAGGTTACAAAATCATAGATTACTGTTTCAAAGTGCTTGTGTGATAAAACGTGCTTAATTTTGGCCAGTTGTCTTAAGTGAAAGAGGCTAGAGCGAACAACAAACCGAATCTGGCTTTCAAACATTAGTTCAGGATCCATTTAAAACCCAGGTTTACAGTCTCTGGCTTACAGAAAGCTTCAAGATTATTCAGGCGTACAGAATGAGCGATGTTGGAACTGGAGCCAAACAGCATCATTAAAATGGAGAAAATTCAGTGCCATCCAAGATAAAGGGCCCTATCATACACCCGGCGCAATGTGGCGCAAGGCGCGATACAATAGTTGTTTGCTAGTTTCAGCTTGGCGCAAGAGTCGTTTTGACATTTTGCGCCACGCTGTTTAAATAGCAAATGCATTTTCACTCATATGTGCGCCCATAGGCGTTCTGATCTAAAAAAGCAGGCATGTTTTGGCACATTGCTGACGCGTTGCTATTTTGAGAAACTATAATATTCTGTTCTTTAGACCAGAACAAAGCTGGTCTATTGTCCAGGGCAAAGCGCACTAGTTGTGCGCCTCGCTTACACACTGCTTAATACACACAAGATGTAGAGCAATACGCAAATATTTCTACATATGAAAAAGAACTAAAATATTAAGGATATATATATATATATATATATATATATATATATATATATATATATATATAGGATATAATAAGAATATATATAGGATATAAATATAAAGGATTAAAATATTACAAAACATATTATTTTCTAGCCTACATAAATATAAAAACCACTGCCTTCATGCCTTCATCTCGGGAGGCTTTTTCAGTTCATTCAATTTGCTTTTGTATAATGTTATTATTATTAGCAGTATTATTTATTATATCCATATTTATATTTGTTTTATTAAAAACAAGCTTAGATTTGCCCACCTGTCAGGTTTTTGAACATATGGGGCACAGCATGAGTATTTGGATATAACTAAAGTTTTTGAACACACTTCATTATTATTGTTTATTTATTAGTTTGCTGGAAATTAGAACTGAATTTAGAAATAGTTTTAAAACAAATATTTGCGCTTAACAAACGAAATTAATTATTTATAGGCTAATTGATGTCTGTGCCTACAAGGTTTCCCTTTATCCACGAGAGCGAAAGTGAAAGTTAATAATTTATCTCTCATTCTCGCGCTGTAGATGCTCTGTTTAACTGCTTTCTTGCTAGTGAAATGCTCAGTTTTTTCACTTTCACTTACATTGCGTCATGTAAATAGCAAATACGCAACTGACTCTTAAAGGGAATGGGAGATGAGACTTTGATTGGTTTATTCTTAAAAAACACCTATAACTCATCAAGAAAATAAACTCAACTCTTTTAGACCATGCGCCACGGCGCAAAGTGGATTTTTCCGTCCTTATATTAGCAAAAGTGGATTCTGACATGCTCTGAAAGCGTTTGCGCCCTGCGCTTTGCGGATGGACCATCAAAATAGAGCCCTTAATGTCCTTTATACATGAGTCCAGTGGATTTAGAGAAAGGCCATCTGTCCTTTTAAGGGGAACATAAATTTGACAGTCATCAGGATAACAGTGAAAGGAGATTCCATGTTTATTTTCCAATGATTTTGGCATAAAAGAAAAGGCAATAATTTTGACCCATACAATGCGTTTTTTTTTTTTTTAAATATACCAATGCAACTTAGGACATCATTATTATTTTGTTACTTATTTATTTATTTCAGATATTTTTTTTTTTAATTGTATATTCCAAGCAAAGTATAGTCCAAAATATACAGGCTTCAGTTTGTACACTGTTTAAAAGCAACTTATAATGCAGTTTTTTTTTACACAAGCAAAAAAGAAATGTATATACAGGTATATTTTCAAATTATGCAACACTCATTCCTTATATGAAGATGTGCTCTCCATACTCATCAGTCGTCCTCTAAGCACTGAGCTGCCATGGTGAGAGAGCTGCTGCTTGAACTCAGTAGTCAGAAAATAATAGATAAGAGGGTTGAGGCAGCAGTTAAGGCTTGCCATACACAGAGAAATGGGGTGAAACTGTTTGATGACCTGACTCGCTTCACAGTTTGTTATGATGCTTTGTGATACCATCAGGTACAGGAGGAAGTTGATGTGATAGGGTGCAAAACAGAAGAGGAAAACTCCTGTGCACACTCTAACCATGCGCAAGGCCTTTCTTGTGTCACTAGTAGACTGCTGCTGTTTGTTCCGCTGTCTCATAGAGTTCTCTATTAAGTAATTACAGAAGCCAATGATGAATAACGGACCAAGAAATCCGAAGAGTTCAGCGGCGGCCATCATAGAAATGGCTAACTGAAAATTCAGCTTGCGCATTGGCAGGTCTTTGAAGCAGCTTCTGTTACCCAGTGACGAATTCGATTTGCTCCTCATTAAAATGAAGGGCGAACAGCAGAGACCAACCACAACCCATACCGTGATACTGATGCAGACGTCATAGCGGGACTTCCAGCGCCTAGCATGAAACGGGTGCATGAGAAAACCACAGCGCTGAATGCTGATGCAGACCAGAAATGCAATGCTTGCGTACATGTTTAGGTATTTCAGGTAAAAGCAGAGCAGGCATAACTCGTTGCCAAAAGGCCAGTCCTGTTGGATGTAGTAATGAATTCGAAGAGGCAAGGAGAGCACATGAGCCAGGTCAGCCACGGTCAGGTTAATCATGAAGATGATGGCTTTCGTCTTCTTGCTGTGAATTAAAGAGAATTGAAGGCTTTAGAGGAAATGCTGAGCAGAGAAACAGAAATAGGTCACAGCAACAGGTGTCCAAAAGCAACATCTGGTCTTTAGAAGAAATCACACACTTTTACTGTTAGATGAACACTGAAGCGAGAGTTCAGAAGACACTCATGACACATTTATAATCATTATACGTCTTGAATATGAAGGAGTTTTATGCATGTATATGACAACTGTGATTAAGTGTCATTAGCTTTTTATCAGTTGACTAAACTGTGTGGTTGAGCTGTCTGGACAAAAATAACGTGCAGTGACAGATCGTAAAACAAGCCAGTCATTGTGTTGCAAGATGCACTCCAGAAATGTATTTCTCAAATTTGTATTGTTATAAAAGCTGCTTAAATGCCTTAATTTGAACTAAGGCCTAACATTGTGTGAAAAAAAACAATCAAATTCAAACCAATCAATCAAAATCAAATTCAATTCATCTTTATTTCTAAAGCACTTTTACTAGGTAGATTGTGTCAAAGCAGCTTAACATAAAAGTTCTATTAAATTGAAACTGTGTCAGTCTAGTTTTGAGAGTTTAAGTTCAGTTTAGTTAAGTTCAGCGTGGTTAGTTTTCACTGCTGAAAGTCCAAACACTGAAGAGCAAATCCATTAATGCACAAATCACAAAACAAATATGCTAAGTATTCTTAAAGCTGGACTAATTGTCAGTAAAGAGCATCTTCAAACGTGTTATTAATTAGCTAACTTTGCTAACTAATCCTTTTTTGGAAGAACTAATTTGGTTCTAGGTATATTGTAATTGTAATTAAATTACAGTACCTCATAACTTTTAGTGTATTTGGTGTAGTTTTAATTGTAAGTACATAGTAAGAATATGCCTTTGAAAGTTCATTATGTGCTTGATTAGTGATATTAATGTATTTCATTTGTGTTACAAGTACTTTACAAATACATTATGAGTGTATACAGTACATTCGAAGAGTATTCATAGCGCTTCACACATTTTTATGTTACAGCCTTATTCCAAAATGAATTAAATTAATGTATTTCTTCCAAATTCTACACACAATACCCCATAATGACAATGTAAAAAAAAGTATTTTTTAACTTGTTTGCAAATTTATTAAAAATAAAAAACCTGAAGAATCACATGTACATAAGTATTCACAGCCTTTGCTCAATACTATGTTGATGCACCTTTGGCATTACAAGCAATTACAGCCTCACACACCTTGGGAATTTTTTCCCCTTCCTCTTTGCAGTACCTCTCAAGCTCTATTAGGTTGGATGGGAAGCCACGGTGTACAACCATTTTAAGATTTCTCCAGAGATGTTTGATAGGATGGTCTGTGCTCTGCCTGGGCCACTCAAGAACATTCACCAAGTTGTTTTGAAGCCACTCCATTGATATTTTGGCGGTGTGCTTTGGGACATTGTTCTACTGGAAGATGAACCATCGCCCCAGTCTGAGGTCAAGAGCACTCTGAAGCAGGTTATCATTCAGGATGTCTCTGTAAATTGCTGCATTCATCCTTCCCTCTATCCTGAGTAGTCTTCCAGGTCCTGCTGCTGAAAAACATCCCCACAGCATGATGCTGCTACCACCATGCTTCACTGTAGGGATGGTATTAGCCTGGTGATGAGCGGTGCCTAGTTTTCTCCAAACGTAACACCAGGCATCCACTCCAGAGAGTTCAATTTTAGTCTCATCAGACTAGAGAATTTTGTTTTAAATGCCTTTTGGCAAATTCCAGGTGGGCTTATGTGCTCTTTACTAAGGAGTGGCTATTGTCTGGCCACTGTACCATACAAGCCTGATTGGTGGATTGCTTTACAGATGGTTGTTCTTCTATTAGGTTCTCCTCTTTCCACAGAAGAATGCTAGAGCTCAGACAGTGAGACCATTGGGTTTTTGATCACTTCCCTGACCAAGGCCATTCTTCTCCGATCACTCAGCTTAGATTGCTAGCCAACTCTTGAAAGAGTCCTGTTGGTTCCAAACATCTTCCACTTACTGATGATGGAGGTCACTGTGCTCATTGGAACTTTCAGAGCAACAGAAATTTTATCTGTAACCTTCCCCAGCCTTGTGCCTCAAAACAATCCTATCCCGGAGTTTTAAAGACAATTCCTTTGTCTTCATGCTTGGTTTAAGCTTTGACATGCACTGTCAACCCTGGGACCTTATATAGACAGGTGTATGCCTTTTCAAATCATGTCCAATCTACTGAATTTACCACAGGTGAACTCAAATTAAGCCGCTGAAACATCTCAAGAATGATCAGTGGAAACAAAATGTACATGAGCTCAATTTAGAGCTTCACGGCAAAGACTGTGAATACTGATGTACATGTGATTTTTCTTTAATAAATTTGCAACAATTTCAAAAAATATTTTTTCACATTGTCATTACGGGATATTGTGTGTAGAATGTTGAGGAAATAGGTGAATTTAATCCATTTTGGAATAAGGCTGTAACATAGGAGAATGTGGGCAAAATGAAGGGTTATGAATACTTTCCTGATGCACTGCACATACAATAAATATACAACTGCTGAGTACAAATATGCTGAATAATGCCATAGTATTCCGAATTGGCTACAAACTGCACACTTGGTATTAAATGCTTTAGAAAACTTTTTTGCTAAGTATACTTGTAGTATCACATTAGAAAACTATTAGTTAATAATAGGAATTCAACTAAAGTGTTTAATAAATTTGCACAGAAAACTTTTTAACATTGTCCTTATTGGTTGTACAATGTGGAAAAATATAAAGGATTGAATATATTTTTGAATAAAGCTTAACCATAACAACATGTGGTAAATGTGAAGTGCTGTGCATATGTTCACGATGGACTGAACTTTTAGGACAGAATAGGAAATAGAAGAACCCTAACAATAGTCCTCCAACACAACACAAGTTTTATCAATCATGAATTGCTGACCTTACAAATCGACACAGCACCCAAAGAGCCAGTGTGTTGCTCAGCACTCCTGGAATGAAGATAATCAGGTAAAAGTATGTGTAGAGATGGTTTATGGCTGTTTCCCAGTCAGTCATATTGATGGAACAGGAGAAGTTCACCATTTGCAATGATGTATTCATGGATGTCATGGTGAAAATGTGAATTCATTTATTGTTGACGGTAGAAAATCACTGTGGAATGTAACAAAAACATTATTAAACAACATGCACTCGGAAACTGGGACTAAACCAAATATCAAAATATCACCTTAATCAAATTAAATCACACAAACCCAAAGGTTTTTGCAGATTAAACATTATTAGTTTGGGAAATTTATATCTAATCTTGATTTCTTGATTAATCTTGATTACTGATATAAGGATTTCCTGTCATATGTCTATGTACCATGTTGTGTCTGTATTATCCTTGTTCAACGTGTCTGTGTTTAACTTGTGTCTGAGCACATGGCTTAACCTGTGTTTGTGTCTGGCATGTGCTCCTCTGTTCCTCCTTCCTTGTTTCCAGCTGCCACGCCCCCTTGTTTAGCCCTCATCTAGTCCTTGTCAAGCCTGGTTTATACTTCTGCATCAAGTGACCGGCGTAACCATCGGCGCATGCAACGCCCGTAGCTGTGCATTTATACTTCTGCTTGCTGTCTCTGTTGGTCTGGATTACACTTCCGAAACGCTAGTTGGCAGTGAGGTGTAAATGTTCCTCTGTGTCGAGTTTCTTCGCTGCTATTTTGCTTTTCCTGAACACTTCCTGGATGTACAAGTGGCTCAAACTTGCTTATTTTGAGGCAGGAACCGGCATACGTGCAACAACTTTAACTATGAGGTAAACACAAAACAAAACTTTCCATCCAGAGCTCCTTCACGGGACTCCACAATTGTAAACAATCGCTCCATTGGGCTTGCTCCCGGCTCGCGCCATTCGCGCGGCTCTCGGTCCCGCCCAGACTCGTCAGCGCTACCAAGCCGACCAACCACAGAGCTTGCGCTACGCGTTGTTGCGACATGTAGTTAAATTTTTTGAGATGTGCACGTCAGTGACGCTGACGGCCATGGCGAAGGGCTATGCGTCAGCGCCGTATCATATGCCGGTGTTTGACGCAGAAGTACAAATCAGCCTTTAGGCTGCATTTACACTGCACAAGGCAAAGGTGCAATGACCAGGAAAAAAAAGAGCGGGCGCTGACTAACAGCTGATAATTAAAGTTAATTAAAATTAAAATTGATATTCCTGTATCTAATCTGTTTGCAGCTTTTGACAAGCTGTTTTACTATAGTTTATGACAGAAAGGTTCTCATTTGTCCATCTTCTTTGATATATAGGCTTTTTTTAAACCTTTAGGCATAGTCGACAAATTAAATATGAAACACCTTAAATGACATGAAACTAGAACATGAAATTAGATTAAGGCAGGGGCGAGGCAGTGGCGCAGTAGGTAGTGCTGTCTCCTCACAGCAAGAAGGTTGCTGGGTCGCTGGTTCGAACCTCGGCTCAGTTGGTGTTTCTGTGTGGAGTTTGCATGTTCTCTTTGCGTGGGTTTCCTCCGGGTGCTCCGGTTTCCCCCACAGTCCAAAGACTTGCAGTACAGGTGAATTGGGTAAGCTAAATTGTCCGTAGTGTGTGTGAATGTGTATGTGGATGTTTCCTAGAGATGGGTTGTGGCGGGAAGGGCATCCGCTGCGTAAAAACTTGCTGGATAAGTTGGCGGTTCATTCTGCTGTGGCGACCCCGGATTAATAAAGAGACTAAGCCGACAAGAAAATGATTAAATTAATGAGATTAAGGCAAATAATTCAATTACTGATGTCCATGTTAACATAGTCAGTACATTTTACTTGTGTTTGCTGCTGATTACTTGACTGTTTTTTTCTCTCTGTGTGGCTGTTTGAGCTGTCTTTGTGCTTTGTCTCATGTTTGTATGTGTTTGTCTTGTCTGTAGACTTCTACTGTTTAACCTATTCAGTTTATCCTTTTATAGTTTTTTTGTTTAAGTAATTATACTCTTTTTATTGTTTATTTAATTTAGTGTCTTTAAGTGTTTAGTTTCCTTTTTGGTAATTTTTTTCCTGTTTTATTTTAAAAGTTAAATCTAATTTAATTTCTTTTCTTTATTTTCAGTATTTCCCTTTTTGTTATTTTAGTTTATGGTTTTATTTCTTAGTTTAGTTCCCTCTGGCTCTTTGTTTGTGTGCATATTAGAGATGTGCGGATCAGCTGAAATTACAACCGAATCCGCGGCTTTATACTAATCATCCACCCTCCCGCACATATACCTTTATACCTTTATATATAAAATGCGGCGAGTTCACCGATGCAACGTCACCGTGGTCCCGGATCCACACCAATTCCCTCATCATCAACCCAAATCAAACACAGCTGAGACCCATCAAGAGACACGGATATAAGCCGCGACCAACCCAGAGACTTGAGAGCTTCATTTTTACTCAAATGACTCCCTGGCTGATACCTGTGTCTCTTTTCTCCCACAGCGGACTTAAGCAGCTCACCATCACCACTCTCTCTCTCTCCTACCTGCACGGCCTCACCCTTTACCCCGGAACCCCTACACTCTTCCCGGCCAGAAGACCGAGCGATCGCTCCGCCATACACTCTCAGTACGATTGTAAATAAATCACTCTCTGGGGCAAAGTGTGAAAATATACCGCTGCTTGCGTGTGTTCTCTCTATCTCGCCACAATATATATATATATATATATATTAGGGATGTAACGGTATTGTAAATACCGTCATACCGCAATATTATTTTTTTCGATATTACCGAAGTCGCATGACTCGGTAAAACTATAGGTCTTCTGAGAAAATTTGCTCAGGCGAATGAAGCGAACGGGAGGTAGCAAAAACTACAATTGCCATCAGCCCATGCTTGACCATCATCCCTTGCGGTCTGTTGTCGCTACAGATCCAGTAATGCGGAAATGGAGTGTGCTGCTAGAAGCGGGGATGAAAAGAGCTGGAAAACTCTAAAGCAGGTCGCACACCAGAAGCGGCGCTCGGCAGCGCGCCGCGCAGCGCCACGCAGCGCCATGTATTTTAGAATTCTAAACATAGGTTTCTATCAGGATACACACACCGGCGCCGCAAGTCGGCGGCTGTCGGCGGCGCCCGGCGACGGCTCAGGACGCAGTTCATTTTTCAGCCGCGCCACAGAGCGCCATCTGATTAGTTTCATGTTAAATATCATTCGAATGTGCGCGTCTGGTGTGTGATACTTATAAACTGTCATGTACATCTGAAAACGGAAGCGGGGCTGCAGACGTTCGCCCCTCTGATTGGGGCTTTTCCTGAATATTAAGTAGCCTAACACGCACAGTTCAGTCCTGCATCTTCTCCGTGTAAGTTCAGACTTCGCAAGTTTGATCAAGGCTGCAGTCTCTTCTTTTCAGTTTGATATGGAAAAGCAGATTATACCGAGGACACGGGTAAATCTTCAAAGGGAACAGTGTACTTTATAACTTCATTCACATCACCCTGGCTTCGTTGTTTCACTTTCTCAACAATAAAATGTAAACATGATTTAAGGAACTGCCTATTTTCATTTTAATATTAGCAACTTAGACAGCAGACATGTTGAGGCGTCGTGCTGCATAAGATGAGCGTCATTTTCACTGTGTGGATATTTATAACAAAACGGAGCCGATAAAAACACTGCCTCCTTTCAATTTCAGTGAAAATACGAAACACAGACTCTTTTTTGCTGAGTATCAGTTTTAAGAATCGATAATGGCCATTTTAAAAGTATAACATACAATAAGTTTATACATTATAGGAAATAAAGGCAAGCGATCAGTCAATATACAGAATGTACGTGGTTACATTAATCATTAACTTATCTTTGCGCTCAGCCAAAACACGTTACCTGAGAACAAGTAATAGATTCCAATGCCCAAAGTCAGGGAATATGTCGTTAGATAAAGACAACAAGATAAATGAAATATCCCGTTTAATAAATATAGTGAGATTAGATCCAGCGGGAGATGCTTGATGAGAAGTCCGACTAGCAGAGCTCTCATCTGGGTAGATGGGCTGAGTGTGATTAAATGTTGAATGTGATGAGTTTTCAACAATACTAAATTGAAACTTTATTTTTTTACATGGTTTAATATTTTTTTGTTATTAAAATTGAAGTTCCTGTTTCAAAGCTTACAGATAGATGGCTAATTTGTATGTCATTGACCCTTTTGGCACTTTTTTGGAGTATTTTCATAAGTTTTGTTTTTTCCTGTAAATGATTCAATAAATACCGTACCGTGACATTCATACCGAGGTATTACCGTACCGTGAAATTCTGATACCGTTACATCCCTAATATATATATATATAAACCGCACCCGATTGTAACGTTTTTAAGTCGAATTCTTTGTTTTAGGCATGATGATACTGTAGGTCACTTTAGATATTAACAGCAGATTCAGTGAGCTAATCTGCACATCTCAGGTAGTAAAATAATAGCCTACGTTAATCGTAAAAATTAAGTGAATATTTATTAATAAAAACTAAAGTTGGTCTTTGCACAATATTTTCTTTGTTTTCAAAGATATAACAGCCATCCACGCATCACTAGTGCACTAGTCAGGCTACTACTGGTCAGATGACAACTCTCCAGGATCTCTGGTCTGCAGTGCCTCATCCAAAGCCTTCACCACCTCCTGTCTGGCCTTACCATCACTGCTCAGTCTCCTGTCCTCCCAGCTCTGTGTGGCTTCTGACCGTGCCATCCAGGACACTCCAGCACCACCCTATTCATCACTGTTGGACTGTGTTTAAATTTAAAATTTAATTTTTTATTTCTTTTATTTTTTATTATTTTTATAATCTTGAATGTTTGTAGCATGTCAGACTGCATGAACATCATGTCACACTGTAAGATCTCAGCTTTCATAAACTCAGACTGAACGACAATGAAGATGCGCCAAACACAGAAGAAAACGCCACTGGAGTTTTACCTCATCTACACGTGACACTTTCACTATGTCGCAATCTGAAAGGATGCCTCACAGCGAATGTACACAATCTGTAGCGGCAATTTTGCCTACAGTGTGTCTCAATAATAAAACCAGGAAGAAAAAAACTGTTTTGACATTTCCCTGCGGTCAACTGAACTGTCGCATGAATTGCGTCATCAAATTCGGAGCTCCTATTGGTTCTTGGATTGAAGCTCATCGCAGGTGATGTCACACTGCAGGAAACTGTCTGAAATCTTCTGACACTGCCAGAACTTCATCGGAGGAAAAATTTGATCGCAACAGGCATTATAAGGCTGTCTGTGAACATTTCAAACCAACGATCAATGATCACCGATTTTAGCCTAAGATTTCAGGAATATTTTTGGATTTCCGAAATTTGTCTCAGGTGACAAAATCGTAACTAAAATCTCACAGTGTGAGCAGGGCTTAACCCCAACTACTTATCACATAATTGACAATGAACACCCTGCACTCATTCTACCTTTACATCCCCCTTCATCTAAACGTGATTTTATTCATGCTATTCATGCTTTCTCAGGTGTGGATCAATGGTAGGCACGGTAGTACAGCAAGAAGGTCACTAGTTCAAGTCCTGGCTAGGCCAGTTGGTATTTCTGTGTGAAGTTTGCCTGTTCTCTGTGTGTTAGCATGGGTTTTCTCCAGGTTCTCCACTTTCCCCCACAGTCCAAAGACAAGTGCTATAAGTGAATTGGGTAAATAAACAAAATTGGCTGTATTGGTCAGTGTGTAATTAAGCCTGTGTGGGTGTTTCCCAGTACTGGGTTGCGGCTGGAAGCACATGGTGGAATAGTTGGTGGTTCATTCCGTCAGCTATTGCAGCATATTGGCAGTGACTTCTGATAAATAAAGGACTAAGGAGAAGGAAAATGAATGAATACAATTTTTCAAGTCCTTTTCAAAGTATATATTACTTGGCCTAAAGAAACAATTAGCTTATGCATAATTACACGGAATTAACTGGGCATGGGACGATAACTGTTTTCAAGATATCAAAGATAAAGTGGTTTGGACAGGTCAAGGTTTTAAAACCGACAAAATTTTATGTAATACCCTTCCTCAGGTATCTATAAGATTTTTTAAATACTTTTTTATTTAGTTTTTTAGGACATCAGTATCTCCAGAAGAAAAATTATCCAAAGATACTGTTTTAAATTAAAAAAGAATTCTGTGTTTTTGAAACAAAAACAACAGAAGTCAATGATTCATTTGAATTATATAGCCTGACATGTTTACTGTTCTAAAATATAAATCTTAAAAATCTTTTCAAAATAGAATATATATATATATATATATATATATATATATATATATATATATATATATATATATTAGGGTTGTAACGGTATGAATTTTTCACGGTATGATAATCGTCTAAAACAATACCACGGTTTGACGGTTTCGCGGTATACGGTATGTTACAAATGTTACAAAATAATAGAACAGTGAAGCAAATTTGACTTTTTCCAAATAATATATTTTCAGTTACTATAAACAACACCACTTACAATGAACAAATAAAAATAAGAAAATAATAAATAATGTGTCAAAGTCCAAATAAACATGGTGCAAATCCTCAGTAAAAAATAGATATAAATATTTACTATACTATAAATAGTTACATAACGAAACTAGATTCAATATGGAACATCCTTAGGTTTTATGTGCCAGGATGGATATGGTTGTCTATCGATATGGATTTGGATGTGGTTGTCTGCAATGCAGACAAACAGCTGCATCTTCATTTGCGTCTTTTGAAAACAGCAAGAGCAGCAGTTCGTCTTTGCTGTGTCACTGTTTTGTCATGTTTCTGTGCTGCTGTGCATGCAAAAGTACTTAGTATGAGAATTATTTCATGCAAAACTTTTTTTTTTTTTGCGTTTTATTTAGCCGCGCATAAATGTATGCCTATCTCTCATTCCGTGTTGTTCAAAAAGCTTGGTCCACAAACAAAAGCGAAACCTATGCTTATTGGTTGTGATATAGCGAGTTTGAACCAATCTGGGCATAGAGGAGGGACAATGCATCAATGTATCATGTCTGATTTGTCCGGAGACACAGTGACGAGCGTTTCTTTGTCAAATCAGCGTTGTCAAATGTTGATGACGTAACCGCACTGATTCCGGAGCCTCTGAAAGTCCGCGAATGTTATGTGATACAGCACTGGAAAGCTGAGATTCTCTTCTTTATGCCAATCTTTGAATTGTATGAATCGGATCAGCGGATCAAAAGTTATAAAACATTTAAGAGCAATACTTATTTTTAGCCGCGGGCGGCTGTCTCGGTCTTTAAGGGTTAAAACCGTTGATATGCAATTGTTCATGGTATGATAATCGTGCACGTTCAAATCGTGGTAAACCGTCATACCGGTATATTGTTACAACCCTAATATATATATACATATACATATATATGGGGAAAAAGTTTTAGTTTTTTACCCAGACATTTAAAAATAATTTATTTTTGAGCAGTGATCACAATACAGTGAAAGCGTAAAACCGTAATATTTTTATCCAAGGTTGTCATACCGTCAAAATGTCATACCGGCCAATGCCTACAATTAACCATAACAGTCAGTTAATTAACTCATATAATTATAGTACTTCGTACAAAAACACGTTCAATGATCAAAAAAGTTAATGTCAAGCCCTGTTCAGTTGTGTATATACCTACAGCTCTTTCATAACTCCCACCTCCCTTCCTGTATAAGCGTGAAGGAAGTGTGGGTGTGCCGTACACATTGTTTTGCCCACAAATTGTGCATTTGTTTGTATCATGCCTCATTTTTTGAAAACCCAGAATTAAATTTTTTTTTAAACAACATACAGAAGTATCTCATTTTAATAAAGCTAGGTGTGCTGTAAAAGCGAAAGCACATGCTGATCAAATACAGGAACTCGTGTCTCATCATGAGTAGGCATGTGCTCATTTATTACTGCGGGTATATTTATTTTGTTTCTTGTTGGCTACAAGAAACTATTTATTAGTTTCTGCTTTCACTACCTAGTAGGTAATGTAAGTAATGTGTATTTATATAGCGCATTTATTGAGTATGGTCATACATCCAAAACGCTTCACAAAATAATACACACGTTTGTTTCACAGATAATTTGACTTTGGTTATGAAGAAAATGAAGCTTCTTAAAGTAATTACATTTTTTTTTGTGTGAAAAAACAATTACACAAAAAAGCAACAGAGAATCACAATTAAAATACATCAAAATAATCCAATTATCTACTTAACTTCATGAAAAAGTATAATTTGACATTACTATTTTCTCTTTGCTTAATCCAGCTACAGTATGTTTCAAGCTTGTTTGTGGAGTATTAACTAGTACAAGACTTTTAATATTTTGCAATGGATTTTGTCCTACCTGTTGGACCGATCTCTAGTCTGCATGTATTACACACTTTTCAGTCCCGTTTTCTCATCACGCGACCTACTGCAACAAGAGGAAGTTATATGATTGTACAGTGCTTTATCATTTGGCATGTTATTCTTTAGCATCACCACCAGCAGAGCTAAGGCATAATAAGGCGCAACATGGTTCTGAAAATGAAACGTGACCACTTCCGTAATGATGTTTTGACACTTCAGTTTCTCTCTCTCTCTCTTTTAACTCTCTCTCACACACACACACACATTATCACAGATAACTGTCGCAGATAACTTACACATACAGAATTATCAAAAAACACGGAGCAAGAAAGATAAACCAGCTTTGCACATGAACAAAAACAAAACAAAAGGCTTTTAAACTTCAGAAATATCAAGTAACCCTACAGAAAAAAGTCAGAATTATTTGCCCCCCTGTTTATTTTTTCCTCAATTTCTGTTAAACTAGGCAGGTTAGGGTAATAAGGCAAGTCATTGCATAACAATGGTTTGTTCTGTAGACCAACAAAAAGTATATATAGCTTAAAGGGGCTAATAATTTTAATCTCAAATTGTTTTTTGTTTTTTTTTATTAAAAACTGCTTGTACTCTAGCCGAGATAAAACAAATTTCTCCAGAAAACAACTATTATCAGACATACTGTGAACATTTCTGTGGGAAATATATAAAAAATAATAATTCAAAGGGGGGCTAATAATTCAACTGTATATATATATATATATATATATATATATATATATATATATATATATATATATATATATATATATATATATACACACACACAGTTGAAGTCAAAATTATTATACCCCCCTGAATTATTAGCGCCCCTGTTTATTTTTTCCCTAATTTCTGTTTAACAGAGAAAAGATTGTTTCACCACATTTCCAAGCATAATAGTTTTAAAACCTTATTTCTATTAACTGATTTATTTTCTCTTTGTTATGATGACAGTAAATAATAATTTACTTGATATTTTTCAAGACACGTCTATACAGCTTAAAGTGACATTTAAAGGCTTCACGAGGTTAATAAGGTGAACTAGGCAGGTTAGGGTAATTAAGCAAGTTATTGTATGACGATGGTTTGTTCTGAAGATTATCGAAAAAAAAAAATTAGCTTAAAGAGGCTAATAATATTTTCCCAAAAATGGGTTTTAAAAATTAAAAATTGCTTTTATTCTAGCTGAAATAAAACAAATAAGACTTTCTCCAGAAGGAAAAATATTATCAGACATACTGTGAAAATTTCCTTGCTCTGTTAAAAATCATTTGGGAAATATTAAAAAGAGAAAAAAAATCAAAAGGGGGCTAATAATTCTGACTTCAACTATATATATATATATATATATATATATATATATATATATATATATATATATATATATATATATATATATCATTTTTTGTGCTTTGTGGGAGTAGTTTTTCACCTTGTTTAAATTACTGCAATTGTATTGTATAAAATTGCAGTAATTTAAACAAGGTAAAAAACTACTCCCACAAACAACAAAGAAAATTATTTGGTCAGAAGAAAGAGAGTTTAGCCTATACTTGTATTGAGTAAGCCAACAAATCCACACAAGTGAATTGTTGCCAGTACGCATAAGTGCCCCAAGTGAACTGAACTGAGTTTCTTACAGCAGCTCTCTATAAACGTGTGACTTTTCACAGCACCTCAGCAGACTCTACGCGCGCGCGCAGTACGACAGGCGCGTTCTCGCACAAAAATGTAACGGACAGCGACCTCTAGTCACAGACGGCTCAGTCACCTGTACTTTTTTTGGCATAACGGTAAAGTGTATATGATTTATTTTGTGGAGCTCACCGACGTGCTCTGTTAAGATGGTTTAAGCTTTGTGTTTGTTGGTCCACGTCTAATGTTTTAAATTACATCTTGAAGGAACGCCTTACAGGTCAGTGAAGATACATTCTTACTTGTCAGTTTAAATGTTTGTTGTTTACCAATAATTCACTGTCGTTTTGTGGGTATAAACGTATGTTTTACGAAATTAATAAACTAATGCTATAGATCATCTGGCATCTTGTTTGAATTTAGTTTTAAAATATTCTTTAAATCAAACAGATGTCGTTTCTCAAATTTTGTTCAGTTTATATTGCTGTGATTAAAGTAAAGCTGGATTTATATTCGCACATTCGTTCAGTGACAACTTGTGACACAATACATTTATTGTTTACCATAATACTAAGAGTATTCGGTCTGAAACCACGTGCAAATATGACTTTAAATCAACATTTAATTGACTGAACAATGTTACTTTGATAGCCATAGACTGCTAATATAAATGCTATGCAAGTAAAGCAAACAGTTATTTTAGTTTGATTAACAAGATCTGTTTTGGTGATTGCTACTGATCAAACTAGTTCTTAAATTCAGTTTATGTAATCAGTTATAATCTCATTAAATGTAGTTTCAAAGCAGCTTTGCTTTGCTAAAATCTACTGCGGTCGTAAGAATAATATTCAGTTTATTATAAAAAAACTTGATCAAAATTTTGCTGTATGATGTTTCAAAACAAATAAAACTGTTATAAAAATTTTATGTGAAACATTTTTGCCTTTATTAATAATTATGTTTACAAATAAATTAGGACAAAAAGTGCTGCACATTTTGCATCTGCATTTAGAAATACTTTTTCTGTATACTGTTTATTTGTATCACACCTTCAATCAGTTATTAAAACTATCAGTTATTAAAACTATTATGTTTAAAAATGTGTTGAAAAAATCTCTCTGTTAAACAGAAATTAGGGGAAAATAAATGGGGGTGCTTATAATTCAGGGGGGCTAATAATTCTGTCTTCAACTGTAAATGTTTTGTTTCAGATTTGATTATTTGCTTTTTCTTAGAAAGAAACCCTTGACTATATTGCTTGAGCTGATATTTACTCAAGGGTATCATTCACAAAGCTATTTGCAAAAGGTAGCACAGCAGGTTACTTTAGCAAAAGTGTGACTTCAAGGTTTTTTGCTCACTTTCTTTATATAATTTATTTAGTTTGAATAATCATTTTGTTTTACATGTTATTGAAATAATAAACAGAAAGTATGTATTTTCTTTAACCTTAATACGTTTGCTAAATTAATACATTTTTATTTTTAAATTATGTCTGAAGCCAGTATACGAGCACAGTGATTCATTGTTTAGCACTGTCACCTGGAAGAGCATCCGCTGTATAAAACATATGATGGAATAGTTGGCGGTTCATTCTTTTTCAAGTGGCGACACATGAGGGACAAGGGACTAAGCTTAAGGAAAATGAATGAATGAATGATGAGCAGAAAGGATCTTGTCATGATATTACAACTCAGATCAAGCAGCTACACCAAAGAAATATTTTATTTTATGTTGAAATCATACTTTTGTGTGTGTGTATGTGTAAACAAATATTCGTAAGCAATATGTAAAAATGTATGACTCTTCTTGTAATTTAATCAGAGCACTTTCAGGTTATAACTACAAATGTTTAAAACATTAGGCTGAGGAGGTTTAGTCTCCTAAAAAAAACCTCAGAGACTTCATCTGGAGCAGAATCAGAACAATTATCAAAACATTAAATATTGGATAATCAGTTCATCAACAACTCCCAAGCTTGCACAGTCATAAGTGTATTTGCATGTGTTGGCATTTTACATTAAGCAGTTTTGAATTATTTGTTGTGAAATGTTTGGTGATCATGTTAATCTTACTGAACAAAAATGACCTCTGCTCTTTTCTTTTGTACAAATTCAGATGATCTGATTTTTGGAAGTCTTGGTTGTTTTGTCCAGTGTTGGGGAACGTTACTTCAGAAAGTAATGCATTACAATATTGAGTTGCTCCCTTAAAAAAGTAACCAGTTGCGTTAGTTAGGCCCCGTTTACACTGCCAGTTAAATGTAACTCAATGTTTTGCTCATATGTGACACAGATCAGATCTGTTCTATGACCATGTAAACAATGCATTTGAATATTCAGAGATCGGTTTCAGGCCTCCTTCATATGTGGAAATTAATCAGATATAAACCGGATGTGACAATGCGACTATCATGTAAACTGGCAGATCGGATTTATTGAAGCATTCCATTTTGTACGTTATTAAACTTGCAACACTGTGGTACTTCTCTGTGGTTTAATGACGTAGAAGAAATGTGTGTGTGGAGACGCCAACGTGGTAAACAACAACAACAGAGGCAAACATGAAGAAGGAAAGTGGTCAGTTGCCACAATTTGCTTCTACCAGACCTGAGATCTCTCTCGTACCCACAAATTCCTTTGAATGATGGAGGACACCATGTATAAACTATAGGCGGAAGCTGCAATGATGGCCCTTTTCCTCCTCCTCCTCCGCCTCAAAATCATTTTAAAGTTGGGCGAACTTTGCATATTTCGAAAATGCTAAAAGCCAGACAATTTCTTCCATCATGGCGCAAATGCTAAAACCCACCTTTACGCATGCGCGACGTTGTAAATTAAATGGCGAGTGTAAACACATAAATCGGATATGGGTCACAATTAAAAGAACATGTTAACGGACAGACAAAAGAAATCAGATATAGGCAACAAATCGGAATTGGGCATCAAGACCTGACAGTGGGACCTTAGTTACTTTTCATGGCAAGTAATACCTTACGTTACTTTTGAGTTTTTCATTACTTTCTTTTGACCTGGCTGAGACTTGATCCCTTTCAGAACTTGCAGAGGGGTTTTCCGTACTTTTTTAAATAGAGGAGCTCTGCAAATAAATTTAATTCAATTCACCTTTATTTGTAATCAGCTTCACATAGAAGATTATTGTAAATTGTAATAGTGTCAGTTCAGTTTTCAGAGTTTCAGTTCGGTTCAGTTTAGCTCTGTTCAGTGTGGTTTAATAATCACTACTGAGAGTCCAAACACTGAAGAGTAAATCCATCGATGTGCAGCTCGCTGGTCTTGGATCGAATCAGTCGCTGCATAATCTGACATAGAGAATAAAGAGAATAATTAGCGTAGCTGCGGTTCATAGTGTATATAAACGAGATGCAGAAATCTGTGTGAAGCACACTCATGTATCATAAGCACACTCATGTATCATACCGCTAAGTAATGCACTGAGTGTATGCTTTACTAAAAAGATGAGTCTTTAATTTAGTTTTAAATTGGGAAAGTGTGTCTGGGCCTCAGACATTAACAGGAAGGCTATTCCAGAGTTTTTTAGCCATGAATGAGAGGGCTCGACCTCCTTTACTCGGCTTTGCTATTCTAGGTACTACCAGAAGCCCTGAGTTTTGAGATCTTAAAGAGCGGGTTGGATTGTAGCGAGACAGAAAGTTGGTTGGATAAACATTAGCTTGATTATTTAAAGCTTTATAGGTAAGAAGCAATAGTTTTAATTCAATAAGAAACTTAACAATTAACAACACACTATATATGCTTCATTTACCTTTAAATAAACACATAATTTAATGTAGGATGAAGCCATCTTCTGAGAGCTTCCTGACCACAGAGCTGTATATGCTAGATTAATGACAATGCATTTGCTACTTTTGTACTTTTTATATTATTAGTGAAGTAAAATCACTGTCCATTCAGATAGTCATCTTTTTCTTTCCTTTAATAAACTCAAAATAATGAGAATATTTCCATCGCAGTAATGTAAGGTCCTGCCTTCTTCATTTCTGTCTGTTCCAGCATTCTCTCAGTGACAACATGACTAGGATCATTTTAATTTAGCAATTTATTTTTAACTAAAAAGGAAATCACATTGCATAATAAAGTAACTCAAATATCATTATTTATTTTTTAAAAGTAATGCATTACTTCACTGGAAAAGTAATATTATTAAACTGGTTCTGTCTGACTTTTCTTGTCGATTGACAATACCATAACTCATTGTGCAATCATGCATGTTTAATAACTGCATAGTTTTATTGCATACTCATCTTTGTTTCATTTTACTTTGGGTTATTTAAAACAATCTAAAACATAGGTCTCAAACTCAATTCCAGGAGGGCCACAGCTCTGCACAGTTTTGTTCCAACCCTAATCAAACACAGCTGATCCAACTAATCAAGGTGTTCTACTACGCTGCTTCTCAATATGTATTCTTCATCGATCTTGCGTCCTTGTGTTCTCATGTAGCGTCATCATTGCTGCCAAATTTCAGTTCCAAAACTCAAGACCGCAAGAACGGAGGACGTGTGTAAAGTCCCACTGTGTCCTTGGTATCGAGGATGCATTGCTGCAGACTTGAGCACAGACCTCGCTCTAGAAGTTCCAGAAGTCATTGCGGCTGTAGGTGAAAAGCGCAACATTTTATATAGATTTATTATTAAGGTTTAGAGATATAACCTATTTATCTCAGGAGTTTTTCTAAATTAGATGGTGAAAGTAAACATTAACATGAAAATTTTAATAAAGGCATAAACACATTAAGGGTGTTTATTTGTTGAAATTTGTATTAAAATCTGTTTTATTTGTATTGTGCAATGTATATTTATAAAGTCTTTATGCATTGTATATATATGAGAAGAAAAAAAAATTGCTGTATGAATGTATGAATGCTGTATTGTTTAAATAATTTTTGGTTAAACATGCGTGAAGGTCATACGACCATCAGGAAGAATGCAGCATCTCATTTCTCACAGGACGTGTTCACTGTCCTCGCGGTCTCCCATGTTCGTTTTTTTGAGGTGACCTGACAAGACCGGTCTTCACAAGAACGCAAGTCTGTTCTCTGCATTCTTGGAATTGGGAAACAGCCCTAGACACTACTAGATCCGTTGTGTTTGATTAGGGTTGGAGCAAAACTGAAGAGCTGCGGCCCTCCTGGAATTTAGTTTGAGACTTATGATCTAAAAAATTTGCTAAAATAATGACACTGCAACATCCACCATGACAGCAGTTATGGAAAACAGACAAGTAGAAAAGCCAAAAGTTATCTTGATTGTTATATCATATTTTTACGTGTTTTTTCTTACTTTATCTACAAATTAACATAACAAATAAACAGAGATTTAACTTTGGATGCAACTACTCCATGTTCGAATTAGCTTTTTGTTTCTTATATATAGACGTAAGTGAATTGTTTACCCAAATATGGATTAAAACAACCAAGTATTTTTTTCTGATAATTTTCTTTGTTTACTATACTTGCATTTTAAATATTTTGTAACATTATGATGGATGAAGTTGTTGCTCTCAGTGTCAGAAAATAACATGTTTTTTATAGGCATTACTCTAATAAATTTTCTCACTTTAATCTGCTATGCAGGAAACTGCAGATTGTTGATTGGTCCATTCTGTAAACAGACAAAACACAAGTTGTATTCATCAGATCAAGCTTTTTGGAGCTGTGCATAGATGATGGGAAGGACGGATCATGCAGAACCTTTGCTAAGTGTCGGAAATTAACTGGAAACAGGAGTAAATCTACTGCAAGTGCCAAAATGGCCAGTCTTGTTCTTAATGAGACTGGGATGGAGAACTGTGGCATTGACGACTCCTTCAAATACAACCTGTATGGTGTTGTGTACAGTGTTGCATTTGTTCTGGGACTCGCCACAAACTGCGCTTCACTGTTTGTCTTCTGCTGCCGCATGAAGATGCGCAACGAGACCACACTTTTCATGACTAATCTAGCTTTATCAGACTTAGTGTTTGTTTTTACTTTACCTTTTAAAATTTTTTACAATGTGAATCGCCATTGGCCTTTTGGTGACACGTTGTGCAAAATCTCTGGAGGTGCCTTCATCACCAATATTTACGGTAGTATGTTGTTCCTGACTTGCATCAGTGTGGATCGCTTTCTGGCTATTGTTTATCCTTTTCGTTCACTCTCCATCCGTACCCGTCGCAACGCTGGTATTGTGTGCGCCACAATCTGGTTGCTGATACTGGGTGGAGGCATGTCAGTCACCTTCTTCTCTTCCACCAACCAGTCTAAAACAAGCACAACCTGCTTTGAAGGATTCTCCAAGAAAACATGGAAGACATATCTGTCCAAGATCACCATCTTTATTGAAGTGATGGGTTTTCTTATCCCACTGCTGATCAACTTAGCATGCTCCTCCATGGTGTTAAGGACCTTGCGTCAACCAGCAACTCTCTGTCAGATTGGCACCAACAAGGAACGTGTTCTGCGCATGATCGTAGTGCATTTGGCCATTTTTATAGTCTGCTTTGTACCTTACAATACTGTTTTATTTGTCTACGCAATGGTACGCACTCGTGCACTTGCCAGCTGCTGGGTGGAGAGGCTTGCAAGAACCCTATATCCCATAACACTGTGCATTGCAACCTTCAATTGCTTCTTTGACCCGGTGGTCTACTACTTTACCTCTGAGTCCTTCCAGAAATCACTGACTACTGGGAAGAATCAAGCTATGCAGGAAGATGGATTGCCGAGTGAATGCCCTTTGTCTAACAAGGAGAAGACAGATGTAGCTGATCTCTACACACTGACAAGAAATGGAAAAAATCAAGTTGGTGAGACTCAGTTCTGACCTATACATTTCTATTCTTCAAATGCTATGCTAAAGAAAATGATTGGTATTTGGACTGTTTCAGTGAAACCCTTTCACAGAGCAACAGGTTTACTGGTTTAATAGTTTCTTTTCTGTCCATCAATTTGTATTAACTACTTAAAACATACCTTCACAGAGCCAGTTGTATAACTTACACTGATATGTCAGTGTGCTAATCAGTGTCACTTTATTTAATCAATGAGTGTTACCAGTTTGTCACAACCAGCGATCGCTGGTTCTCACAACAAACCATGGACTACACTTCCGCCTTTTCCTGGACTACATATTCATACATGCACTTCTCCCAGACACCCATGCTCACACATCTAGCCTGATTACATTCTCACCAGCTGAACCTTGTCAGAGACTGATTAGACACGCTTCATAAACCACTCATTCACCAATCCAGTTTGCAGAGTCTTGTTAGCTGTACCAGTAGCATTATGAACCGTTTTCCCTGTCTTGTTTTCCTATGTTTAGATCTTAGCCTTGTTCATCCGTGTTCTCCTGTTTAGCCGCCTGCCTTTCGACCTATTGCTTGTTTATATGGCTAAGATTCTGGATTTGCCTGCACATACCCGTTTGTACCTGTATGACAACTGCTTGCCTGACGCTGAATAAACCTGCATATTGGATCTTACCTCCTGTTGTCTGTCACTCCCTCCCGTCGTTACAGAAGACTCGGCAAACTGGATGGGTGAATGAGTGGTTTATGAAGCGTGTCTAATCAGTTTCTGACAACGTTCAGCTGGTGAGAATGTAATCAGTCTAGATGTGTGAGCATGGGTGTCTGGGAGAAGTGCTGGTATGATTATGTAGTCCAGGAAAAGGCGGAAAAGTAGTCCATGGTTTGTTGTGTTAACCAGCGATCTCTGGCGAACAATCGCTGGTTATGTGACACAGTTAAAGCACCTTCTTTAGTTTTTCTGTAACAGATTAGTGTGTGAATATTGAATGTTTATTGAAAATGTTGCCCTCCGATTGCCTTTTACAAAAAAGGTAACACGTTAATTATAATTCTAACTGACAATACATGCATTTAGTTAACATTATAAACAATATAAAATTTCATATTGTAATACTATTCTCAAACATAGTGTTTCTCAGCTCATAAGGTAATAGCTCTAGAGCTTTACCTTAATTTAACCAGAAGCTGGCTAAGGCAGATAACATCTATCACACACTTTAATGACATTATTTTGTTGAAAATATTGATTCTTTGGATTTAATTATAAAATATTATTTGGAACTTTGTTCAATCAAAATAGCATGGTATACATTTCATATTTAGTGTAAGACTGGATTTTAATTAGAAAGGTTTACTTTTTAAAAAGCAATTTGAATTATTGAAAAAAATATAAATTTTAATTAATATTTTTAATTGTGTAATCTCAAGATTTTTTTATTTTGAGAAATTGATTACAATGTTTACATTGTATTGCATTAATAGTGTAATATTTTTTTCATTGAGTGCAGTAATTACATCATGAGTTGTTAAAAGGTATGTACCAGCAGAATTCATACCTAACACTTTCATTCTTGTGTAACTATAGCCCCTTTCACACAGTGATACCGGTAAATATCTGGAAAATTTCCGGAACGACTTTACCGGTATATTCAAAAAAGCGCTGTTCACACAGGCGAGGACGTTACGGAAATTTTCCGCAAAAGAGCATTCACACATCCATTCCAAAATACAGGTAAATTCTGACATCATTCACCACAAATGAGCTTTAAACGGCTGCGCTTGTATTTGTAAACATTTAACTAAATTACAAACTCTGTGGATGATCAATATTGTGAACAACTTTCGCAGGATCACTTTCGCATGTCGAGATGTTCATAATATGTGCGTGTGCAGGTGCTCACAGGCTGTTTCACAGGCACTCGCAAAGCTTGAAGGTAAATAAACAACGGCTTATCATAAGCATCTCATCGATGATTATTTACACAGTTGGCATTAAGAAGAACATATAAACGTGATCTGACTAACTTCTAGCAGCTAAATTTGTCTGGAAAAATATTCAAAGGCTTTTATTCTCATAAACCGCGCGGACGTAAATGCGTCTGACTGTTGTCAGACGTCTCACGTCAGCACGTTCTAGACGTGCACACGCTTATTCCGGCAATCTTCCTTCTGGATTCATACAGCGCTGCATTCCGGCAAATTACCGGTAATGTTACAACTTCTCTTTCCGGAAAATAGCCAGAACGAATTTACCGGTATTTTCAAAAAGGACCTGTTCACACATACAACCTTTCCGGAAAATTGCCGCCAATTTTCCGGAAAGGTCTGTATGTGTGAAAGGGGCTTATGGCTGTACCCTACAGGACAAGGCGTTTCATAGAAATATTTGTTAAAATGGTGAAATGATATGCTATTATTCTGGTAGCATTTCATAATTGTTTCAATAGTTTAAAGGTGCAATAGGTGATTGTCTTTAGAAACATTTTTGTTTTTATTTTTGAAAGTCTCTTTACATCTTGATGGCAATCATCAATTTAAATGGTCCTAATGAATTTATATGTATTTTAAGATTTTGTGGAAGGTATTGGACTAAAAAGTTCCCCCAATCGAAAGGTTTGTCCTGAACATTACAATGCCCTATTTCATTAGCATGTTCAGTTCAGACAGTGAATTGTAATTGCTAACTGAATTATAAAGTTTTCTGTTTGGTGAATGTTATGTGATGTATTGTAGTCTAGTACTTGGTCCTGTATTCAGAAGGAATGTCGTTCAGGCTAACATTAGTATTTGTGAAGAGGTCCTGTTGCATCTTTAACTAATTTAGATATTATTTTCTGCTTCATAACTGCTTCTTCAGCCACATTTTTCATAGTTATGAAGTAGACTGTAATATCTAAATGAGTTAAAGATTGAATAGGAGATCTTCAAAAAAATATAGCACAAATATAGCACCCTTTGAGGCAAATCTATGTGGCACATAAAGAGTATAAATAAAGAGCCGGAACAAGCAGTACTTGTAAAAGTCATTTGCTCTTTACAATCTGTTTCAGTTTTATTAAAATCACTTTTCAATCATTTTTTTACGAGTTCACACTTACACATAACTGACAATAACGTTTAAGCATATTTGTCATTTTGTCTGGAGAGAGGAAAGACACTTTAACTTTAATGTTATTCCCCTTGTCTGAAGAAAAACTAAGTAAAAGGGGTATGAGCAAGTGTCTGGTTTGGCCTCAGAATGCTCCCCTATTAAGTGAATTAAGTTTGTAAGTGTGAAAATTAGATGGTGGAAGTATGCTGAAGATAATATGGTGAGAGAGATATGCTGAAGTATGCTGAGAGATAATGGGGGTAGTACATACTCGATTATTTATTGGGTTTTGTTTTTGTGGTCACTAGATAATGCTATGTTTGTCAATGATGAATTAGCCTTTCCAATGACCTGCATATGCTCCTTCACAAAAATTGGTTGTAAAACTTCCCTTCATGAGTTTGCACTCACAAATGAAGATAATTGACATATTAAGGTTTAGTAGTATTTGTTAGTGATGGGAAGTTTGGCGAATTGGAAAGTTTTCCATGAACCAGATATTTTGGACTGTTTGTTTCAATTAACTGGTTCGAAAAATCAAATCACCGGTTCATTTGATCTACAATATAATGACATCATCTACGATGACGTAATGACAATTGTCCTATGTTAGAACTCAACATATGAAAAATTTATAGTTAGCAATCATAGTTTCCGCCAGTTAAACATCACCATGATCACGATCACATGATCACACCATGAAATGAAAAGTGTCTTACACTTTAAGTTTTGCAAACCAAATCAAGCATGATTCACTTCCTATTTAAATTCCATTTCAATTTTCTGTTATTAAATAAACATACGTTTCGCCAGATCCTCCCATTTAAGCCCATGGTTTACCTGTGTTGTTCGGTTGGGTTCTGATGGTACGGTGCTGCTGTGTCAGTCACAGCAGGCTGTCATGTATTGTTTGCATTTGGTTCATCACCTGCTAAATCAAACATGCACATTATTATCAGCTCACCTGTTCTCAAAACAGAAGAATCCGAAAGAAACCATTCTTCAATTCAGTACTGCTGATCTGTAAACGGCTGCAACCGAATGTACTTGAGAACAAGATTCCAAAACCACAAAAGTGACTCTTGATTGGAGTGAGAGATGGTCTATTATTGGGCATGTACATATCTGCTGTTTGGGTCACTCATCATCATCAGTTCTCTTTTCACAACTGATCTCTCAGTGTACACTTCTAGTAACTGAATAACTCTAAATAACTAAAATTGTTTATTTTACGTCAGAGGAGGTATCAGCCATGTTAAAAGTAAGTAATTTGTGGATAATTGCTAATTAGAGATGCAAATTGTTTCAAATGATTCAGTTCAATTTGATGAACTGGTTCTACTGGTTCATTTAGAAGATCCAGTTAAAAAGAATGATCCATCCACAAATCAGCCATCACTAGTATTTGGCATGATGTTGGGTGAGAGGGCTCTAAGCTTGAAAATACAGTCTTAACCTGTGTTAATCCCCTTGTCAGAAGAGCGAAAGAATGTGTTAGGGTGGGGTGAAAGGGCATTGGTGGGATGGAAAGGCGCATACCTCTGGAAAGAAAAAGTGTGAAAAATCTGGAGAAAAAAGTAGCTGCCAGAGGTGAAAGCAGATGGATGGGTGAAAGAGTGTGAAGGTATAGCTGGCGTCAGGTCTTAAGTAATCAGCGGAAGCGTTCTCATGCCTGCACTGGCAACTGGGGTAAGCAAAATGTGCAAAAATATGAAGGTGATGGAGGAAAAGTAGCCCCCGGAGCCTTTGCAGAGGCATGCTCATGCTTGGGATGGCTCTGGAGGTGAAAGCCTAAGGAAAGGAAGAGGAATGTGAAGGGATCACAGGACCTCAAGTCATCAGTAGGGGCAGTGTCACGCTGCTATTAGCACCTGAGATGGGCACCTGTAGAAGAAATTGGTGCTGAGGCTTGTACCATCAGCGGGAGGAGTTGTGGGCTGGGATATTGTTTTTGACATGGGAAAACTGAGGGAAGAGGCTGTGGGGCAAGGGTAGTTTAGAGGGTTTAGAATTGAAATATGGAAAGAAGTGGAAGAAGATGATCCTTAACCATCTGAGAGACCCTTACTCACAGTACCTGGCAACAACACTGGTTGCCCCCTAGTTAAAAAAAATGCTCAAAGTTGCACAGAAATAAGCCTTGCCTCCCCTCTCTCATCAAAGGTAAATAAATAACATTGTATAGTCTGCATCATAATAAAAAAAATACAGTTAA